CAGGAAAATTTAAAAATTAATTCGAACTTACTGTTTTTGCACTCAACTGGTACTTAGAAACCGCTGAAAACTTGGAAAAAGAGTTATAATATACTAAAAGCTTTTTATTTATTCGTATTATATCAAAAATGAAGAAATAGTTGCAAAGTCAGCATAACACAGGAATTGAAAAAAAGTATAATGCTCTTGTAATAGCTCAGTTTCAATCAATGTATCATCGTCATGTGAATTGGTTGGTCTGGTAAATAATTCATCATAAAAATCTCTAGTTTTCAGAAATATGGACAATTTCTTCCCGATGCCTTCTATTTATACTTCCCCGTATATGAAGTATGCATTATGCGGAGTATAGGGTGAGTAATGTAATGCTACTAATAATCGATTTCCAGATTTAAACGGAAATACACGTTTTGGTGTTCCCTGATACCGAAACAGTGTTTTTGTCAAAGCGTCCATCTGTTGTTGTTTTTTTCAAATTAAAGAAACCAGTGTCCATCTGGCTCGAGCCGAATATTTGAGATTTTGAAAAAAGGCTTTAACATTTGGGGGTAGAAGATCCCGGACATTTTCAAAATTTTCTCAAAAAAGGCTCAAAATTTTTCTTTAAATTTCTTTTAAAAATTGAGTAAAATATACTTATAAAGGTAGCATAGGTCCGATTTTCAAGTTTAACTCTAAATTTTTGATAATATCAAAATGTTCCGGGTGTCATTCTACAACTACAAAATTAAAGATAGAGATTTTTCACTCAACTGAAATTTGTTCACCATAGTGAGTTCTTTCATTAAGACCATGTACGTTCTTTTGAACATTTTTGTAGGTTTTGCGCAATATTGAATGCAATATAAGCAGTTTTAAAATTACACCAATAAAGCAATTACACAAACAAGATTTTCATAAAAATGGGTCTAGTTGTTTTTCTTTAAACTTTTGGTAAGGAAAATGATAAATGTACTCTATAAGATGACAGACTGCTTTGTTCTTTTTGCGTTTTCTAAAATTACAATAGTTCAATTTTTTGACTTGTCTCTCATGTTGTTAATATTTATATTAGCGGCAATTTGTTCACAATATTTTATTGATGAGTACATATGCTTTAAATAATGTCACATATAGTCTCTCGAAAACTACACCGTTTTCATAATGAATGCATTGTTACTCAGTAACGTGGTCACAATTTGGATTTCTTTACGATTGCGGAATATATTCTCCAAGCGTAATTGCATCGAACAAGGTGACGGGATGGTGACAATTATATATAGTACACCGTTTTCTGTGAAAACTAGATCTAAATTTTTTCATCAGACTTTCCGTGCAGATATTGCTAATTGCACTCCTTAATCTGACCTAAATTTAATTTCGTAGTATTTTTTGTTTTTTCAAAAATTACACATTGTAATTTGTTTGAAACATCACTCATGCCGTTAATATTTACATTTCCAGCAATTTGTAAACACTATTGTATTTGCGACTTAAAGTAGTTTAAATAACTTTAAATTAAGTTTTCCGAAAACTCAAAAATTTTCTGTGAAAAAGAACTTCAAATTTCGAATTTACAGTGGCGCCTAAGCGCAGTTTCTTAAAAACGGCTGTAAATTTTTCAAAGAAAATAGTAATTTACGACGAGATTTTACTGTTCTTTAATATCCATAAAATAATATTTCCGTTCTGTTATTAGGAAACCGAAGGTTATCTTCGTAAATAGGGGGCATCTAACACGTAGATTGGTTACAGTTAGTAATTGTCGTAGTCTTTATCCTTACCTCAATGCCATTATCAAACATGCACATTTGACATTAAATAAATGAATAAATACCATAAATACAAATTATGGTGTTGGGTCTATGAAATTTCACCTTGTAACTTGCGGGAAAACTTCCCTGTATCCAATCTTTGAGGTTATACAAACGGGGGTCTACGGTACCCTATACGATATGTCTCTTGTAGGGCGGAAATAAAATGCTACTTCACTTGAGGGAGACGTACTGAAAAATTCTTTTATAATTGATATCACTTATGTGATGTCAACTGTACCAACCGAAGTTGTACGAAGAGACGTGGCTCAGGGCGTAACGCGCTGATTTTGCAATCGAGAGGCACGAGCTAGATCCCTGGGTCGGTCATCCTCATCGGATTTTTTGTGGGTTTCCTCGGTCACAGGCGAATGCTGGGATGGTTCCAAAATACCACGACCATCGCTCATCATATCACCTCATACTTCACAGTCTGGCTGTCAACTACTTTGAATATCTTCTTGGGGGTACCACCAAGGATCGCACGCGATCTACTACTATAACAGTTGCACAATGCTAAAAATTTGAGTTTCGGAATACATATATACTCAACAGGAAGAATTAAACAGTTTACAGTGGGAACATGAATAAGTATTTCTACAAACAAAATAGGTAGAATTTTTCATTATTTATAACAAAAGACAACTTTGTGCAAAGTGAATTGCCAAAATCTGCTACCGCCTCGGAGAATATATGTTGTTTCAACTCTCACGCCTTCAAAATTCTACAGTTAACAATTTGTTATATTGTATTCAGTTAAAGAAACAAAAAAGTAACTCAATTTATGAAGACGCCAAGACTTAGAGATTTAACACTTGTGTTAAATCAAGTGTTCCATCCAAGAAAGATAAACATGTTCATGTTGTTATGACGAAACCGAATGAATGAATGGTTAGTAGCACTATTCTGTTAGTATCTCCTAAATAATTACTTTTAAAACATGTTCATAACCAACAGAGGGAAAACCTCAAACAAACATGTTATTATTAATGTTCATCTCTGCCAACTCTATTGTCAATACAGAAACTAATTCTTGTAAACAAAGTATTTGACATTGCCTTTACAGGGTAGGTCCCTTTTCATATCAAACCAAATAAATGTACAACTCGTTTGCGCGCCTAATTGTTAATGTCTTTTTAATGTTGAATAATGTATGGCTAGTGCCCAGGACATTGTGATTTTGAGAAGCCCAATTTTCTTCATTCTTCTCATACCCACGGTCCTCATGAACAATACATACAATTCCATGACTACATTGTTCAAATTTCTTTTAACACTCGCCACTCTCCTTTCTGAAAAACCACGTCACACGGCAGCCGTGTATTATTCTTACGGTAAACTCGATAATTCTCTCAAAAAGCACGGAAGATTAATAAAATCGTAATGATTGCTTATCACAAAATTTTCATTATTAAATAGATCTTACGAATGTTACAGAAGCATATTGAAATAAGATACGAGCACTCGCACATGATACTTAACATCTTCCAGGAAAAAATTACAAAGGATTATTTGAAAACCCTTCTGGCGCGAAAAACGTAGAAATTATTATTTACCCTAGTCATTATTTAACTCAGAACATAATATAGATTGAATCAAGAGATTCAATCAGAATGAATTAAGAGGACATTCTATTGGTACTTTAACAGAAACTAATATATAT